GGGGATTTGTTTCTGACTGATGGAGTTCTTCTAGATCAGCCTTCTGCTGTCTTTAGGAGTCAACTGGTCCTAAGTAAGACAAGTCCTATAGGGAGTATGAGACTATAAAACTAGAGAAACCAGAGGTGTCTTCTGGCTCTAGATGTGGGAAAGGCTTGATGTTTGCCCTGGGCTCTTTCTGTGATGGTTAGTCACATGGTATGAGAAGGAAGACATGAGAAGGGCTCTGGGAAAAGTTGTTCATTCTTACAACTCCTAGCACTGGGAGGCCGGACATGGCATTCAGGGTCATTCCGCAGAGCACCAATACCTATCAGAAGGAGAGTAGGAGGGTGGAGGAGGGTGGAGAGAGACTTGGAGGGTATTTTATGTCATCAGATTTACTGAAGTTTCCATGGGCAAAGAAAGACAGTTTAGAGTTCACTAGTTGGAGTAATTTCAGCTATAGAGGTGTCCCTAGCTACCTGGTAGCTGACCTGGGGATGACAAAGCAGAGGGATGGTACCTCCTGAGGTGTGAAGTCATTATAGAGGAGGTCTGGTTCTGGATTGTTCAGTGTGCATGTAGCAAGGATGCCTTGGAGCCTCTGAGGAACTCCAGGTCTCTCCCTACTCAGTTAAGTTTCAAAGATGTCGAAGTACAAAAACATGAAGAAAGTGTTAGGATGCAAATGTTACCATTGTAAAACTGCAGAAGTGATCAGGCGACTCAAGAAATAATGTCAAGAAAATCCCAACGAAAAGAAGCATTTGATACATCAAGAGGTATCCCAGAGCTGTGAGTATAACTCAGTGGTGAAGCACTTACCAAGAATGGGGGAAGCCCTGGGTTTGATCCCCAACACTGAAATGAAAAAGCTGTCACTCATAACCCAGTTTGGTTAAAGAATATGTTACATAAGAAATGAGGATTGTGTTCTCTTAGAACTCAGGAACTGAAAGGAGGCAATTAGTTTAGCCCTGTTCTTCAAGAAAGTGCCATTTCTAGCAACAGGATGATTGCATCTGAGGCCATGGTCATGCGAAAGAGGAGCTTTGGTTTACAGTCATGTGAACAGTCAAGGTACCCTAACACCAGCCTCTTCTGTTTCCTTGGTGATTTATGAGTGTTGTGAATTGGGTGGAGCTGGGTTTTGTGTTTGTTGACATTGATATCTGAGTTTTCTTGTTGTTGTTATTCTTCTAAATGAGAAGCAGCCACTGCAGTGTCCACCATAGTGACAACTGGAAGATGATGCTCTTTTGTAAAAGCAAAGGCACAAACACAATATAGAGAACAGTGGCTCATTTGTTTCAGTGACTACAGGAAATGGAGCCTATTTATTTTATTTTGGAAAAGCCATATTTAAGTAAACAAAAAATGAGAAAATAAAATGCTAATTGAAAATATGCATTATTTTTACCAGGAGCAATTAGAAATCAGTATAATTACCACATTTAACAGCTGTCTTTTGTATTGTTTCTATTTTAGTATATTGACTATAGCCAGAGAATAGTCAACAGATAAAAATGTTGATATCTTGTAAGCCCTGTTACTGGCTGGAACATCTATAGGGCTGTGGGTATTTCTGTGATGAAAATCAAGTGTCCTTTGTTTCATAGAATAAATGCATTCTTGACCAATTGCCTCTAGAGAAAGTCCTGATGTATGTATGTTACAAAAATCAGAAATCCGTTTCTTTTGAATATATTCATTTTGAGAAATAACATATTTTTAGCATTCTAGCCAATTTCTCAGCACACATTAAAATAAAGAATTTCTTTTGAAATATTAATACTACTCAAATTGATATTTTATGTGTGCATAAAGTAGATGATTTTCATTTGATGAAAGTCTGAAGGAAAAGAAGAACTGAAGTAGAAAATAAATACATATGAAAGAAAAAAATCACTCAGCTAGAAGTGTTACCTCACAATACGTTCCATAAGTAATATAGGTGCTGAGTTCTCTAGTAAGAATCCACTATTCATTGCCCTGATTCTTTCCATAGATCCATTATGAGATGATAAGTGCTTAACAGAGGAATGAGACAGTGCTGGGGAGATGCAGCCAGAGACACCAGCTGCCCTCACAGGCTAAGTGACATCTAAGGGGAATTGAAAGCTGAGTCCTGTTTAGACTAATGGAGAAAACACAGATGCTAGAGAGGAATTGTTTTTAAAGTTTTCATCATATACAATGTATGTTGATCAAAACCGCCCCACTCCCCACCTCATACTCCATTCACAACCCTACCCCAATCACATCTCCCTCCTAACTTCATGTCCTCGTTGTCAATTTTACCTGTTTATTTAATTAAATAGAAGTAGACTTTCTATTTTTTTATATTTTTATTGAAAAAAATATCTTTTCAGACAATATATTCTGACTAAGCGTTCCCCTCCCCTAACTCCTCCCAGATCCCAACTCCTTGACTGCATTCTGGCATTACTCCTAGTTATTTCTTTATTTTTTTTCTCATCTGGAGAACTAGGACAATATTTGTAGATCCATCAGAGGCTTTTTTTTAATGAAGAGTTAATACCTGAACCTGTAAAGAACTTAAAGTTGGTGCTGAGCATGGTAAGGGCTCAGTGCACATGATGCCCATCATTAAGAAGAGGAGGAATGTTGTCACAATCAAAGGGAATAGCATGATATATTTTTCATGTTGGAAAAATTCAAAGCACTGCATAGTTAACAGCTCTTACAACTGAGCAATTTAATGCAAGATAGAGAAAAGAAGTGGAGGTGAAACATTAGAATGCAACCACAGAGGCCCTCATAGATGACGAAAGGAATAAAGCTGCTATGCATCCGTATCTATTTCATGTGGCAGGCACATCAGGTTGTCACAGGGTGCTTACTTAGTACAGAAGTCCTGTTTCCATACTAGAGAACAGGCCAGGAAACAATGGGCACTGAAGAATAAAACTGAGCACAACGAAGGTGGCCCCTTGTCAGCGTCCCTTCACTTTGAAAACATGCAGGAGAAAGCTGGAAGGAGGGTGGGTTTTCTTTGGCTTACAGTTTCAGAATTTTCAGCCATAGGCTGCTGGCTCCACTCTTTTGAGCTCTGTGGTGAGGCCAGAGTATTTATTATGGCAGGGTATGAATGGTAAAGAAGGCATTCACCCCATGTCAGCCAGAAGCAAAAGGAGAGTCTAGGGTTCTTCTGTCTTCATCAGAAGCATACCACCAGAGGCCTAAGTACACCCCACCAGGCTCTTCATCTTAAGCAGTACACCACCTCCCAGGCTGATAAGCCTCTAACACATGACCACTGGGGAATTGTAGCTGGAGTTCTCTCCAGTCCTGCTTGGGCCTGCAGCCACTCAGACCCCATTAAACACACAGAGATTTATATTACTTATAAACTGTATGGCCATGGCAGACTTCTTGTTATCAAGTTTTCATATCTTAAATTAACCCATTTCTATAAATTTGTACTTTGCCACATGGCTTGTGGCTTACCCGTATCTTTATATCTTCTCATGGCGGTGGCGGCTGGCAGCATCTCCTGACTCAGCCTTCTACTTCCCAGCGTTCTTCTCTCTGCTTGTCCCACCTATACTTCCTGCCTGGCTACTGGCCAATCAGCACTTTATTTATTAACCAATCAGAGCAACACATTCACAGCATACAGAACATCCCACAGCAGGGAATATTTAAGATCCCAATTTTAACATAGCCCTAAGAGACTAATATACAAATGACAACTTTACCTTAAAACACAGTAGTGCTCCCTACTTGTTAAAAGTCTTTCTCTTGACTTAATTTTACTTTTTTATTAGTTCTTTTAAAATTCCATACAATGTGTTTTAGTAGTATTCATTGCAATACTTCCCAGTTAGGGGTCTGTAGAAACTCACTGGCCAACAACTCCAAAAGAGGTAATTCATTACTGGCACTGGGCTTTTTATTTGTTAGCCTCTGATGTCTAATAGGGACATCGTCACCCCAATTATAGAGTAATTCCATTTTTAAGAAGTATTCTCTCTCTCTCTCTCTCTCTCTCTCTCTCTCTCTCTCTCTCTCTCTCTCTCTCTCTCTCTCTGTGTGTGTGTGTGTGTGTGTGTGTGTGTGTGTGTGTGTGTGTGTGTGTGCGCGCACGCGTATAAACATGCTTCCACAGTAGTAGGTTTACATATGACTTTTTCAAAAGGTCTTTAGTCTTATTTATCCCTCCCCATATTCTCTATTCCCCTCTTGTCCCCGCTCCAATTTAACCCCCTCTTCATTATTTTCCTTTAACCCTTTATACCATTGAATTCTATTTCTCCTACCTTTAAGACCCCCATGATCCCTTACTAATATTTTAACCTCTATTAAGTATTCAAAATGAAATACACATATCAGAAGATTCAAAGCTAACATTCAGAAATGAGAGAAAGCATGTGACATTTGTCTTTCTGGGTCTGGGTTACCTCACTTGGAATGATTGTTTCCAGCTCCATCCACTTACCTATTAATTTCATAATTTAATTTTTCTTAACAGCTAAATAATAACCCCTGTATAAATTTACATTTTCATTACCCATTCATCAGTTTATAGATACATAGACTGTTTCCATATCCTGGCTGTTGTGACTATGATATTAACAGATGGTGTTTTTAAACTCCTGAATCATGGCATTTGTGGAAGATAAGAATTTAAATTATGGAAGATATAAATTAGTAAAAATGAGTTAACTGACCACTTAAGAGTTACTTGTTAAAAAAATGTAAGAAAGAAACATATAATATGAGAGTACAATAAGAAACCTACCAACTGCTTCCTTTTCCAGGGTTTTAAATACCTTTGAAGTGGCCAAAAGCTTCCATGCATTGGTTTTACAATTAGCAGCAGATAAAGTAAGTCAGCCTTTCTAAGATCCTGGCCTGGAGACATCATGATTATTCTGATAATAGCTTTTTGTCTTACAGATTCTGCACAAGTTATTTGTTTTATATATTGAGTTACTATGTAATCAGGCATACCTACATTTGTTTGTTTCTTTCTCTTTTTGTGCGTGGAATAGGAAATCAAGGAGAAATTGGATTCCAGCCACAAGAGAGATATGGAAGGCATGGGAGTTCCAGAAATCAAGTATGGGGATTCTCTCTGCTTTGTCCAGCATGTAGCCAGTGGCCTTTGGGTCACCTACAAAGCACAAGATGCCAAAACTTCCCGCCTGGGACCTCTGAAAAGAAAGGTGAAGTGTCTGAGACTTGTCCAGGGTTGTTTTACACTGAGTGGATACAGCTAGGCAGTAGAAGTGATTCTGAGTACCAGGTGGGCATGATTATATTTTACCCATTCCTGCTCTAAAGAGTGGTTCTGTGATAGATTATACATAGTTTCTCCAGTAAATTAGGCTAATTTGGTCACTTTAAGCCCATTTTCATTTTTTTTTTTTTAGAGTACACTATTCATGATGACTGTGGAAGAGCTGGAGCTTGTTTGATTCACTCTGAAACCCAGTCTCAATGACTCTTAGTAGTTCCACTATTTTGGGATTATCCGCATCATCGCTCCCTTCATTTAAGTGGATAATAGAGTTATTATACTATTTTCATAAGTCAGAGACTGACTAGAATGTCTATGGAGGAAATGCAGTTTGCATAACAATGAGACTACAGACTCCAGTGTGCAGAGAGATGAGAATTGATGCTCTGTCCACAGATGTATCCAGACTTGAGTAGTGCATCACAGTCTGCATATCACAAAGCTAGCTTGGATACTTGGAGAATCTTTTCATCAAAAAGTCAATTGCCATAATAGTAATTCTTTTTTATAGGAACCAGAGAATAGATGCCAAGGGTATGATTTTCTTGGAAAATTCTTTCAAAATGCATGTTTAGGCAGTCAAGGAAATCCAGAATAAGTTTATAGGAAGTACTAGTCCCACCGTATTGGCCTAAAGCAATAATGATCATGTCTCCAAATTATAGTTATTATAGGATATTGGAATCACACTATGTGGTAATAGGAAGGTTTCACAGACCAAGATCCCTTTAATACAAGCCCGGCTGGTTAGAGCAGAATATGTGGACTTGAAAGAAACACCTACTTTGATCTTTATGTTATTGCCTCCACACAGTTGCTGATCTGTAGACTAGGGAGGGAGGTCTTAGGTTGGCTCTACTGTGGTGGAGAAAGAATATAGACACAGGCTTAGCCAGTATTTCTGGGATTTCTAGGATCAAAATTCCCAAGTAGAGGTAGCTGTAGACACAACCTGAAATTCTACATGCAGTTTCTCATAGGATCCTAAGCTGTCCCTGTGTGGGCTGTGTGGGCAAGACAAAAAACCTAGGATATCACAGCTGTGATGGAGAAGCACAGGCAGAGACAGACAATATGATGGTCCTAAGGAGACAGAAGCTGGCAGTAACTGTCTCCCATACTGTGATAGCCCCGGGGAAGTACAGTAAGCTTTCAATGAGTCCTGATGAAGCCACACTCTAAAACAGAGAGCTACACTCTTGAGAATAAGAGAAAACTGAAAACATCTACCCAACTCCATCCTCTGCAGCCTATCCCAGTCCTCTGTAGAGTATTGTAGTATCTTGACAGGCTGTTTGGTTTTCTGCACATCAGCTATGATAATGCTAGAGTAGAGTTTGTGAGTTTGAGACTGAGCCTCTAGATGGAAAGGGACTCTGTCCACATAGAAAGATTTTGGACTGCATTGTTGAGATTGTGTGTCTTTTCCTGCCCATAGACCCATCTAACTGCTAGAATATGTATACAAATTTGGGAGCGACCTCTTCTATATGATATTCTAGCATTTAGCCATTGAAAGGCAAACAGTGCTATATTTCATAAGAACGGGTTAAGTTTTTCCTCTAAAATGTCCAGATCTGTGTGAAATGAATAAAACCCAGGAAGGACAACCACAATAAAGAAATTGACAAACAGTCTCTCATGTTAAAAGGAGTGGCCCTTATACATTGTGAGTACCTCCATGAGGATTATGATCTAAGGACTTGAATTATGATCAACAGGTACTCAATAACAGTATAACCAGTGTTCTCAGTCCTTGTTACTTTATGGTTTGTCTGTCCAGTTTGCATATTATCTGAACAAGCAAAACCCTAAGAAGATTGGTCTCTGGGGACCAGAAAACCAGGAGCAACACAAAGTACACATAATAGGAGTGTACTGCTAAATTGCACATTGTTAATCAACACCAGGAAGGTCTGGAAAACTAATACTGCCTAAAAGCTGGGGAGTCCAATGGTTAGGCATCTTATGCAATGCTTTATCTTCCTTATGCATATGGGATGAAAAGTTTGTTTTTTTGTTTGGTTTGGTTTGGTTTTGTTTTTTTTCTTTTGGTTTTTCAAAGATGAAAAGTTTCTTTTGTTTGTTTGTTTTTTTTGTTTTTCGAGGAGAACACAAACTTTTCCAAGCCTGTATCCTACTTCTTGGGTAAATTCATTATATTAGGCTTTGGCCAAAAGAAGAAAAATATAAGAAAAAGATTTTCACATGAAAAGAAAAATAAGCTTTGACTTTAAAAATCCTGACATACAGACCGGGCTATGGTGGTGCACGCCTTTAATCCCAGCACTCGGGAGGCAGAGTCAGGCAGATCTTTGTGAGTTTAAGGCCAGCCTGGTCTACAGAGCAAGATCCAGGAAAGGCACAAAGCTACACAGAGAAACCCTGTCTCAAAAAACAAAAAATAAAAAATAAAAATCCTGACATACAAACTGAATTCCAGGACCCTATGTGATCCCTCATTTCCATAAGATGTTGCCATGCTCAGGAATTCAGATCAGGATTTGACCTTAACCTGAACCAGGGTCACACCTTCCCACATACTACCTGCACATACTTGAACCATGTTAAGAGGACAAGTTAACAAGCTCCAGAAGTTGCCAGCTTTGCCCAAGATGTATCATGATGTCCTTGGTGATCAGTAAGTCCGAATGGTTTCTTGATAACTGGCCAAAGATCAGTAATTACTGCCCATATAGTAAACATCCCTTGAGTGCCTTTTACTTTCTAGGAGTCATTTTGATTTATATGTAAATCACCTAAACCCCCAAACAGCCCTGCAAGATAAACCTAAGTTTGCAAATGGTGACCTGGAAGCAGAGAGGTTCAGTAAGTTACCTGGAGTCATTCAGCTGGCAAACGGCCAAACAGAACTGGGGGGGGGGGGGGGATGGCACCTGATATGAGAGCCCTTGCTCTGAAATCAGCCCCGTAAGAAACACACTCCCACTTAATCCACTTCCCCTGGCCCATCTGCTAGTTAACTAACTTTCCATAGCTGACCTTCAGTAGAGAAATTCAGTCCTGATCCCAGAAGAGAGTTTTCCTTTGAATTGTTGTTGCCCAATTTACCTATGGAGGAGAATGGTCTAAACAAAGGGACTTGCCCCATCTTCAAGGGTAAGCCCGTGTTCACTTTAAAGAGAAAAAAAAATCCATTATAAATGTATGTTTTCTCCCTTCAAATTGGCCATCCAGGCCCAGGAAATTTAATGTAGCTCATACCATGGTGGCACATAAAATTTCATTCTCATCAAACCACCAGGTTGTGGGAATAATTCACATGTCAGTAATGGGGCATATGGGCAAAATAACTTTGTTAATGTCCCGTTTTCAAAATGGACTCAGGGGAGCTTGGCTAGGGGAAAGAATAATAAGAAAACACCACAGAGAATGTGGGTGGCCCAGCTGTGGAGTAAAGTGTAACCTGGACTTGTTCCCGTGCCCTGTGGGTAGGTCATACTCCATCAGGAAGGCCACATGGATGACGGATTAACACTGCAGAGGTGCCAGCGGGAGGAGTCCCAGGCTGCTCGCATCATCCGGAACACAACAGCCTTATTCAGCCAGTTTGTCAGGTACTTTGGCCCCTTCCCTTTCTCTTCCAAACCCACCTACCCATCTCCTTTTGATGCTAGGAATGTTTGGGGAAAGACATTCATCACCATTAAAATTTTGTTGCCAGAGAGAGATTAGGACAGAATTTAATCTGCCACATAGATAACCTACCAGCTTCACTCATTACTCACCGTGTCTAAGGCCACACTGGTTGCTTGGGTGAATGAATAATTAACGATTAATTGGTGCAAAGGATAGCTAAGGTCTTTGCAAAATGAAAAACAAAATGTAAAAAAAAAAGTCAGTGTTTTTTATCCTTTTGTGTTCACAGACTATTTGAATTACCCAACTATGGATTGGCTGTAGCTGGGGAAAGTAGCTGAACTGCATAGTTGGATGGTAAACCCTTCAGCCTCATCATGTTGCCAAAACAGAATTCAGGATTCTTTTAATCAATTAGTGTGAGGAACTGGTCTTTCTGGAATCAATACAGTGATCCAAGTCATTCTTCTCTTGTAGGAAAATCTCTTTAAAGCGAAGAGGGCTTTTATGACTGGGGGTCATCACAACATGAGGAACTGTATTAAAGGGTCACAGTACTAGGAAGGTTGAGAACAACTGGCCTAGGTGATGCCTGCCTGTGTGTTCTAAAGTTCAAGAAATTGTTCCCCTGGAGTAGACCTCTTAACCTTGGCTAAGTGTTAGATTTATTGAGGCAGCATTTAACACTGTAATTTCCAGACTATGTCTCAATCCAACTTCCTCAAAAGTCTAGAGGTGTGAGATCCAAGAGCCAGAAGTTAACAGGGCCCAGGCTGTAATCCCTGTATTAATGGCTATGGTGGGAGGATTTTGAATTCCAGGCTAGTCTGGGCTATGTAAGAGCTGCTATCTCAACAGTAATGACAAAAGCCAAATATCAGTACTTCATTGAAGCCTCTCTGATGATTCTAACATTCAGTAACAACTAACAATCATTTCAGCAAATTTTCTTCATCTATATGGTCAAAAATAGCTTATTAATGTCAACGTACCTAAGATATGCCCTGCAAAAGGGAAGAATAAGGAATGGATGATATTTCATTTTATAAATGATAACTTTATATAAATGATCACTTTATATAAATCCATTTTGCATTCATTCCATTGGCTAGAATTTAATCAGAGAGAAAATTGCATGCAAACATATCATTCACGTGGTCCTGACTAGCATCCAATCCATCACCTTTGAGGCGGATGGTTTTCTTATCTGTCCTCCAGGTCTCCCAAGGTTTGGTGTTAAACTTTCTTTAATGTCAACAGCTTTAACTTCACATGCAAAACTTAACTCTGAGTGAATCAAAGATTGAAATATGAGAACTAAAACTATAAAACAGTGTTAAGACATAGGCATAAATTTTCACAACTTTGGATTAGAATATGGATTCTTTTTTTTTTTTTTTTTTTTTTTTTTTGGTTTTTTGAGACAGGGTTTCTCTGTGTAGCTTTGCGCCTGTCCTGGAACTCACGTGGTAGCCCAGGCTGGCCTCGAACTCACAGAGATCCGCCTGGCTCTGCCTCCCGAGTGCTGGGATTAAAGGCGTGTGCCACCACCGCCCAGCCCTAGAATATGGATTCTTAAATACGATACCAAGGCAAAAGCAACAAAGGAAAAAATAAATAAGTTGGACTTTGTTGAAATTTCTAAATAATTTCACTGCAAAGGATGCAATAAAGTAAGCAGAGACAACTCACGTAAAGGAAGAAGATGTTTGTAAGTCATATATCTGATAATGGGTTTGTATCTAGGAGAAATAACAGGAACTTTCAGTGAAAGTTAAAACAATTGATTAAAATAGTTAAAGGCTCTGAATAGAAATGTCTTAAAAAAGAATATATGCAAATGACCAATGAACACATTAAAAGATGTTCAGTAACTATCAGGAAAATGACAGCACAGATCACAGCAAAATACCTGTCAATACCCACTAAGATAAAACATGTTAAATAGGAAATGTAGGATGAAACTAGAATCTTTTTTTTTTTTGGGGGGGGGGGTTTCGAGACAGGGTTTCTCTGTGTAGCTTTGCGCCTTTCCTGGAACTCACTTGGTAGCCCAGGCTGGCCTCGAACTCATAGAGATCCACCTGGCTCTGCCTCCCGAGTGCTGGGATCAAAGGCGTGCGCCACCACCGCCCGGCTGAAACTAGAATCTTCACTGCTGGTGGTAATGTAAAATGTAGGAGCTACTTTGGATGGCAGTCTAGAAGTGTCTTTGTAAGGTAAAATATAAGAGTTTCTGCAGGACCCATCAATTCAACTCCTAGATATATGCACAAGAAAAATGAAAACACATGAACAAAAATATCCATAAGTACTCAGAGCAGTGCTATTTACAATAGCTCCAATACAGAAATAACCCAAATGTTCATCAGTTTGCAAACAGATACATAAAATGTGTCATATCAATAAAATAGAATAAGCAACTACCAATGCATATCATCACATAGTACATTGCCTTTGCCTTTTGTTCACCTAGGTATGATCAAAAGCACGTTAAGTGAAAAAAGCCACCCACTGTGTAGTCTCATTATAGGAACTGAATGGGCAAATCTGTAGACCCAGGAAGGAGATAAATGGTTAATGATAGCTAGAGGATGAATGGTTGGGGGTGGGGAAGAGAGCTAATGAAAGAGCTCTGAAATGGTTTACGATTTGCAAAACTGTGAAGATGCTAAACATCATTAAGCCACTGAATTCTATCCTTTAAATGTGTGCTTGTATGAGATGTGAATTAATATTTCAATGAAACTGTTATTACATGGTTAATGAGGGTTACAAGCCTGACAATGGGAAAATTATTTTTAAACAGCTTATTGAGGCAGTGTGTGTGTGTGTGTGTGTATATATACATATATGTATATATATATATACATATATATATATAATTTGCTCTCATCAGTACATAATTCAGTGAGTATTTCCATTTCCTTATAGTCTCTAATGCCCACTGAAGTTTGGTCCAGTTGCCAATCACAGACCTGTTTTGTCTCAATTTAAAACATTAAGTGGATTAAATAAGATATATTTTGAATCTGCCTTTTTCTTTTTTTTTTTTTTTTTTTTTTTTTTTTTTCGAGACAGGGTTTCTCTGTGTAGCTTTGCGCCTTTCCTGGAACTCGCTTTGGAGACCAGGCTGGCCTCGAACTCACAGAGATCCGCCTGGCTCTGCCTCCCGAGTGCTGGGATTAAAGGCGTGCGCCACCACCGCCCGGCTTGAATCTGCCTTTTTCACTCAGTATTGCATTTCTGAGGTTCATTTGTATTATCTTTTTAAATCTGATGAACAGTATCTGCATTCGTATATGTATATGTATGTATTAAGTACACTAGTGTGTACATAGACTTACCTATAGAGAAATGAATATACATTTTATATCATCAGTAGAACCATGAGTTATTTCCATTTTTATCATTTTATAAGTAATGCTTCTAGAGATATTAATATAGAAGTTTTTAGATGTGTATAAGTGTGTGTGTGTGAGTGATATGCCATGTGTATGCAGATAGACACTTCTGTATATTCTCCTGTGAAGTCCAGAAGTCAATGCCAAGTGTCTTCTTCTATTGCCCCCTCCTTGCTTTTGGAGACAGAATCTCTCACTGAACATGGACCTTGCTAATTGGCTAGACTGACTTGTCTCTGTTCCCACCACCCAGTGTTGCCAGCACTCATGATGATGACTGGTTTTTGCATAGGTCCTGGGAATCCGAATTCAAGTCCTCTTTCTTGCAGACCAAGCACTTAACTCACAGAGTCATTTCCCCAGTCCCCACTTTCAGCTATTTCTAGGTGTTCCTCTCAGTGGCTTTGCATGAATTTCTACTGTTGTGTAGCCATCCCCACTCACTGTCATAGCACACTGTATCCTTGTGCCAATTTAATAGTCATCCCCATTCTCCTTTCAATGTCTATGTATTTTACTTTTCTAAGTACTTCATATAAGTGAAATTACATAATCTTAGCCTTTCTTGCATGGTTTATGTCACATAGCAAAATGATTTTAATGTTTGATTCATTTATCAGAATTTCATTCCTTTTCAAAGATGATAAGCATTCTATTGAATGCATATACCATATTTTGTTTGGCCCTTCAATCCATCAATTGAAATTTGAATATATACACTTTTTTGTTCTCTCTCTCTCTCTTTCTCTCTCTCTCTCTCTCTCTCTCTCTTTCGCACGCGCGCGCGCGCGCGCGCGCGCTATGCTGGTATTAAACTCAGGGTCTTACACATGCCAGGCAACAGCTCTACCATCTGAGCTGTATTTTCAGACCTGTTTATTTACCTGGAGATAGCATCTTTATGTATTGCCCAGAATGACCTTGCTCTCCTGATCCTCCTCCTGATCCTCCTAACTCAGCCTCCATAGTGCTGAAATTTCAGGCACACATTGAGATGTGGGACATGTTTAACTTTTAAGAAACTAGAAAGAACTGTTTCCCAAGGGGGTATATATCATTTATAGTCCCCTCATAAATGAATGAAGTTCCATTTTCCCTACATCCTTGACTATATTTACTGTTACCTTTTCTTTTGATTGTAGCCATTATGTAGGTGAAGTGGAATGGCGTGGTTTTGCATTTCCAGAATGAATAATGGTATCAAAACATTTTTTCATGTATTTTGTGGCCATTCATACATCTTCTTTGATGCAGTGTAATCAGATGTGTTTGCCTCTTAAAAATTAAGTCATTTGTCTTCTAATTGAGATTTCTAAGTTCAGTGAATCTGCTAGTACAAGTCATTTACCAAATTTATGATTTACAAGTATTATATCCTAATCTGATTTTTCTTCTCATTTTCTTTTTAATTTTTTAAAATTTTAATTTGCTTTATGGATCTAAGTGTTTTTTCTGCATGTATATCTGTGCACCACATATATGCCTGGTACCTGTGGATGACAGAAGAGGACACTCAATCTCTTGGGACTGGAGTTACAGATAGTTGTGAGCTGTTATGTTAGTGCTGAGAATCAAACCTGGGTCCTCTGGAAGAGCAGCCAGTGCTCTTAACCATTGAGCCATCTTTCCAGCCCTTCTCGTTTTCTTAATAGTGGCTGGGGAGGTGGTTCAGTGAATAAGGTGCTTGCTGTATGAGCCTGAGGACCTAAGTTCACATCCCCAGCAGCCATGTAAAATCTGGGTGTGACAGTGAACATCTATAACCCTAGCACTGTAGTGTGGGGAGAGGGTGCAGAGACCGAAGGGTCCTGAGGGCTCACTGGCCAGCCAGTCTAACCTAAACAGTGAACTTCAGGTTCTGTAAAAGGCTCTGTCTTAGAAAATGAGGTGAAAAGTGATTGAGATAAAAAAAAAATGTCAGCCTCTTGACTCCACATATTTCTACTCAAGTGGACTCATACACACCCACACACAAACACACACATGAACATACACATACACCATACAAGAAAGAAGAAAGAAAAAGAGAGGAAAAAAACTGGCCCTAGTGATCTGCCTGTAATCCCAACATTCAGGAGGCTGAACCAGGAAGACCAGGAGTTTAAGGCCAGCCTTGGCTACACAGTAATGTAAAGAATGTCAGATTGCTCCATAAAGACTAACTTTCCCCATCAAATGGCCTTAGCACCTTTGTCAAAAGTCACATGAGCCTAACCACAGGTGGTGAACTTATAATATCTGCACTGGGGAGGTAGAGATGCTCAGAGTCCCCAGGCAGACCCACCTAATTGGTAAACCCCAGTGAGAGACCCTATCTTAAATTCTTAAATGAGGTGGACCCTTTCTGAGGTATAATAGCCAAGGCTGGCCTCTGGCTGCTGCATTCACTTGCACATGCATAATGTGTACACCCCCGCCCCCCCACACACACACAGAAGTCAAATGACCACAAATTCAAGAGTTTTCTATTGATCTCTTAGTTGTTTTGTTGACCCACATGCCTATTAATATTTTCAAACACTGCCTGGGTTAATTTAAACTTGTTGAAATCATGTAGCATGGGTCCTTCAATTTTTGAAATACATCTAAAGCCATTCTGCTTTCTTGTGTGAATTTTAGGGTGCTTTTGTCAATTTCTGTAAATAAATCTTATAGAACCCTGCTGGGATAATTTTAGAAACTGCATTTAATCTGTAGATTAGGTTTGGAAGGCTTGCTGCTTTAGTAACGTTTAGTAGTTGCACAAACACGGGAGAACTTGAGGTTGTCAGTGTATGTATAGTCTTGGAGTTCTTTGGTGTAAGTCATTCCTCTGTGTTTGTGTCTTTTTAGTACTATTGTATGTGAAATTTGTATTTTAAATTTCAGTTCAGCTTCTTTTTATAGATACATCATTATTAAAATATTAATCATGTATCCATAAATGTCTTTGAAATGTTTTTTTTTTAATTCTAGGGGCTTTGCTTTACTGTAGAATTTAACAGTTTTCTCCATAAAAGATCAGATAATGAATGAAGAGAGTATTTTTTTCCTTTCTAGTAGGAATGCTCTTTATTCCTCCCCGCCCCTCCTGCTTGTACTGGTTAGAACATCCAGTACAGTGTGTAATGACGACACTGTGAGCAGATATTCTTGTTTTATTTCTAATCTTAGGAGGAAAATGTCGAGGTGTTTTCCCCCATTAAGCACAGTGTTTTCTGTAGGTCCTTTGAAATTGCCCTTTACCAAGCCATCGGTTTCTATAAATTCACTATGGTTTTCATCTTGAATGAGTGCTAGATTTTTGTTGAATATTTTTTTCTTTGCTTTGTGTTCTGGTCCTTTATTAATAAGATTTATTACTTGCAGTGACTGCTACAGGATTTTGTCTTCTGACTGGAGGCTCTATGTTTTTCTTCTTATGTTCTGATCATTGTTGTCCAGTGTTTGTTTTTCTGATACGTACATTGCCTTGAGAAGTTGACTCTTTAGAAATTATAAATTGTCTTGTCTTCTCTATAAATGCCTTTTCACTTGACTTTGTAGAGTCCCTCAGGATCACACATGCAAAGTATAGCACGGGTTAAACTTCTTCACTCCCATGCTGTCACCTCATTGGTGACTTTGACTCTCAGTCTCCTGGAGATTGCATCTATTGGATTTTTTTTCCTTCAAATCAAGTCCGACAATTGTTCTTTTTATCAGTGTGTTTAATGCAATTATGTTTAATTAAGTAGATGTTTATAATTGTCATTTTACTGTTTTTGTTTCTCTCTTTTGCTCCATCTTTTACTGCCTTCTTTGGGGTTAAATATATATTTCTAGAATACTGTTTAGTTTTGAGAATTATTTTTATTTTTGTTTTTAGTGAGTTTCCTTTTCTTAATAATATCAATGTGTATTTAACTTGAAACAACCTATTTCAAATTCACACTAACTTAAGTAAAGCAACCTTATTCCAATGTTGCTCTACTCTCTCCCTCCTCCTTTACGGTAACATTGCCATGGTGATGTCACCATCTGTTAGAAGCATAGTAGTACAGTTTTATAATGATTGTTTTACAGAATGGTTTGTTGAATCAATTAGCAGACCAAAACAGAACATCATATCTAAATACTTCTTTCATTATGCCTTCTCACCTTTCTCCCTGTTTCTTTGTATGGGCTCTACCTACTGTTTGGAGTCATTAACTTCCTGAGGACTTCATTTAGCATTTCACGTCTAACATTCACTGATGGGTCTATGTTTGACTGCAAAATGCTTTTGAAATTCAGGCAGCTTACAGTTCAATCTTGGAGTTTATTTTATAGCTTCTTGGGGCCCCACATTCACCCAGATATGAATAGATGGCATGGACCCTTGGCTTGCCCTACCCTATTGAAAGTCTTTGCCCTAAAGCTGACTGAAAAGTATCCCTAAGCTAAAAGACAGTAGACTCCCACTGTTCTTACAGAGGTTTGTTTATAAAAACAAACAAAGAAACAAAAAACACTACTTTCCAATTTGATATGCATACACACACACACACACACACACACACACACACACACAGAGAGACAGTTTTCAGAATCCTAAATTTTATTTCATTTTGTCAAGTTTTTTTATACAGCGGGTTTACTGAGCTTCCTTCTTCCACTCTTCTAGATTCTTCACCCTCAATGACTCTTGTTTCTCCCATCAACACAGGATCTTTTAGAATAAAGAATGACTAATGACAAATCTGTGCAGCAGAAGTGACAACTTTGCAACAGTTAGGAACTGAAAAGTAATTTGGAAACAGACTCTTGTCTTCCATCTCCTCCAAGAAGGCAACAGTATGCAGGAGCCTTCCAAGAAGGCAAATCTAGATTATGGAATAGGAACAGAGCAACAGAGAGCTGTAAAGAAAGGAAGCTAAAATTCCATTGCGTTTTTTCTTCACCTTCTGTACAGTTGCTAAGAACTGTGCAGGAGGACAAATGAGCAAAGTGCTAGAGACTCCCAGAAATATGCACAAAGCAAAGATACTGACAGTAGCCCTTTAAGTCTGGGATTAAGAAGGAGCGAAAGCCAAGAGGAGTAGACACTGAAGCTAAGAGGGATAATGTTGAGAGCCTAGAAAGGGAGGTATGTGCAGAGGGAGGGAATCCAGGGGTAAAAGGATCCAAAGGTGGAAAACAGACACAGAGAGCAAAGATGACATTAATACTTCGATGACAGAAAGCAGGTGTGTGCACACATGCAAATACAAAACCATCTACAGATGATCAGAAGACGCTTGGAGGGAGGAAGAACATGAGGGAGAGAGAGAAGACAAGATGGTGTAGATGGAGAGACCCCCCCACACACCTCCTCCAGCCTTGTGTTTAATCTAGTCTAAGAAGGTATCACAGATTGAAAGAACAGTATTGGAGATTAATACCTTTGTTATTTTTTCAAGTGTGTTTATTTAAAGAGAAAGTGTGACAGACATACAGGGGTGAATGGAAGGGAACCATCTGCTGCAGATAGAAACTGACATCCTAACAATCCCAGTTGACATTGCCTCTTTAGATTACACAGAAGTCATCATTAGACACTCAGTGAAGACCTGTTTGGTACTGGGTGCTGAGCATAGCAGTACTACAGGATAAATTGTAGGTTGCCAGAAGGAATCATGTTCCCTTGTTTATGACACAGCTTTAAACGGATACAAATATTGCCTCCCACTGCTGTGCTGCTGGGCACACTTCATCTTGTCATCTTATGGTTGTTGGTGCAACGACTGCCCCAGCAAGTAGGTCACTGTCCTCAGTATGGGGCTGGAAGGAATAAGGACCCAGCAGCCCTTAGTCAGTGCCCTGCTGGTGCCTCGTGCCTGAGCAGTGTCATCTTACATTTTTTTTAGTGGAAACAATCGCACAGCTGCCCCTGTCACCTTGCCAATAGAAGAGGTCCTGCAGACCCTACAGGACTTGATTGCCTACTTCCAGCTGCCAGAGGAGGAGATGCAACATGAAGACAAGCAGAATAAGCTCCGCTCCCTCAAAAACAGACAGAATCTTTTCAAAGAAGAGGTAAGTCAAGAGAGATTGATTGATTGATTGATTGATTGATTGATTGATTCTCTTTGCATTTGGAGCTGAAATATGCCTATGGCTGCAGCTTAGCTCTGTCTGTAGGCATACACATATTTGTGAGCAGACTCAAGAATAAGAAGCTTCCCAGAAGCTGGAAAAAAAAAGAGGATTTACTGGGGATTGATATTCTCTGAAACCACCAGTGGTATATTAGTGATGGCTGGCCCATTCAGACTGTTTAGGAGTTGATGCTTCATTGTGTATTTGTATCCAGAATCCACAAACAATAAATCAGCTTGTTATAACATGTCATTGGTTGTGATCCAAAAATTTTGGGATATGTCAGAATTACCTAGGAAACCAGTTTGAAAAAAAATACAAATGCTTATATTCCATCACAACAGAAGTATCTGGGAAGCAGGTTTGAAGGATACAGATGATGATGTATGTTATTAGACAGTAGACATCTGAGTCACTAGGATAGGGACTGATTGTGAAGGAAACATTAAATAGCAGTGTAGTGTCCTGAGACTCAACCTATTCTGGCCCCATTCCTGCCTTCAGGTGACCTTAGATAAGTCATGGCCGTCTCTGAACTCGGGGCTACTAGACTGTGGTGGACCTCCCCAGCACTAAATGCCTGCAGATTCATCCCAAGTTATTGATGTGGGATGTACAACAATTGCTGTCCAGTCTTCAGATCTTAGCAGAGTAGGAATTGGAGGTCCTCTGAGTGTGCTTTTAGACTATTAAAAGGACATTCACCATCCCCTCTCCTACACATTAGTAATAACTAGGCACAGATGTTCTTGTGGGATGCCATCATCTTGTAAGAATGCTGGAAAGGTAGTTGAAAATGCTCTTTAGGTTTGTTGTCTCTAAACCTCACCTAAGGGTAAGCAAAGTGAACATGGCTTTCTTGTGCAAATGAGTAAATTTCTCCTTTTATTAAAAATAGATGTTTTTGTTCGTACAATATATTCATAGTTACCCCTCCCCAAATTCCTCCCAGATCCTCCCCACACACCCCACCCAAACCCACACCCTTTCTTTCTCACTCTCATTAGAAAACAAAAAAGCCACTAAAAAAAAAATAGAACAAAATAAAGAGAAACACATACACATACCCTTAAAAAAGAAGTACAAGAAACACACACAGCTACAGAGACACACAGACTCACAGGCACCGAAATCCCATAAAAACACAAAGTCAGAAACCATAATATGAATGAGATTTCTTGAATTTGAGGCTTAGGAGGGAAGTCAGTACTACCCCCAGAGCAGTTTCTGCCTGGGTTGGAATCACTTCCCATCAAACTGAAGGGAAGTTTGTGTGGGTTTCATTCACACGGTCTTCCTTGCTGTGTCCTTGGACTGAGTTAAGCACAGCACATGGGGACAAACCTGTCACAAGAGACTGCTGACTCACTCCACAAATGGATGTTATTTAGGTCTACGAGGCACTAAAAAAAAAAAAAAAAAAAAAAAAAAGTGTGTATTTTGTTTTTAAGAAGACAAAACTCTGCTGGCACCGTGAAAATCTGTTGCCATATAAGTACTGTCAGTTTTAGGAGGTGATAGACATAGGAGAAAAATGAACTAAGAGATCCACAGTGCTTTTTTTTTTCTGTCAAGAATGCTGATCTCTTCCTCAACTCTCCTCAGGGAATGTTGGCCCTGGTGTTGAATTGCATTGATCGCTTAAATATCTACAATAGCGTAGCACACTTTGCAGGGATCGTAAGGGAAGAGAGTGGCATGGCCTGGAAAGAAATCCTGAACCTGCTGTACAAATTGCTAGGTGAGTACACATGCAGCGCCTCCCCTCAGGGGATTTGTTCAAAGCTGTATGGGTTATTGACTTGAAACGTAGAAGTGCTTGGAGGCCATGTGTTAAATGTTCAATTCTGACCTGATGAATCGTTGTTAACTGGTAGCTTATTGTACTCTCCAAATTAGAGCTAGAAGTTGTCAGCTGTGGTAGCCGAGTATGTATGCCAGGGTATGTAGCCAGTCTATGTTACAGAAGTGCCTGTGAGAGAAGAAGTGAGTGACAGATTTTAATTCCCCTAAAGGTAGGAATGGGGATGTCTCAAAGGGCCAGACTGGGTAAGGTGGCCTTTCGGGACCTTTTCAGAGCTAACCTTCTGTATGAATCACTCAAGAGCTTTCCCAGTTCTTACCCCATCGTTATGCCCTTTAACCTACATGATCAATATTTTCTCCCTCGGTTTCAGCTGCTCTCATTCGTGGAAACAGAAACAATTGTGCTCAATTCTCCAATAACCTTGATTGGTTAATTAGTAAATTGGACAGACTAGAATCTTCCTCAGGTAAGAATTAAAAACAACAACAACAACAACAAAAATTTAACTGCGGAAGAATAATTTTTGTCCCTTTTGTAGAAATGAAAACAGAGCTGACTCATTTCCAACAACAAGAGAAGGAATGCTCAATGCTTCCTGACAAGGCTATGCCTTTATTTAACGGACTCTGACTTGGATTTCTTTAATCCTTCTTCTTTTACCTAACATTTCATTCTGTGCCTTTGCCTTTACTCCATGGTGCTTCCCACACCCCCACCCTCCTACTCCACTGTTCTCTGGATACTTAGAATGAATCCCCCTTTCCATGTCAGCTTAGCAGAATTAAAGGATGACCTTTAATTTAAGAATAAATAGTCCTCACCCCCCCCACCCCCCAATGGTCTTTTGTATCACATCTATGGCCCTTCCTGATGACTCTCAGAGAATTGAGCATCATGGTCATCATCGGTAAGTAACCACCCACAAGGCTGAGCTGTTCACTTCTGAGATGAGTGCACACAGCGGATGTGTGCGCCCTATGCGAAGCTGCAGTGTTTTGATGCTTTTCTTACAGTCTAGAGGTGGCAGGTGCTTGAGGAAACCAGCCAAGGAATGGTCCCCCAAGGACCTCCATCCTGCTCACATCATTTTAAGCTTCTCTTCTCTCTGGTGCCTTCTTTTATTAGTGAAATTATATTCCTGGGCACATTAAGAACACCTTGATTGTGTAAAACCAAATTAAGGAATTTTTAAAAATAAAACCAGTGAAGCTCTTGGCCAGCTACTTCCCTTGGATGCTCATCTTGATGTTAACCTTGTATGTGCCATGATACAGTAATATTAGTTTACCTTAGGGTCTCAAACTGCACATAGAAACCTATCTGCTGTGCCAATGAAGTCAAATAGTCTGTTTCTCAAGATCATACTTTATTAGCTACATTAGGACATCAAAAATAACCTCTTAGTTCTGTTCTTAGAAAAACACTTACTCTGAGGATAAAGTCAGAATAGTTTTAAGTTGCGTGCATGATCTCTGCAATCTGTAGGTAAATTGGGCAACCACTTACATAGCTGTATTTAAATGAAGTACTGTCTGGTTTGGTCAATTTAAGGATCCCACTTTTCAGCTGCTTTCCTCAATTTGACAAAGAGCACAATTCTGTCTAGGAAAGGGAGTATTAAGTTAATGTTGAATTAAACTCACCCCTAAATTACAGGCTACATGGCTTTGGGGCTCCTGGAATCTGCCAAAAATGACTACCCCTCTCTTCTGGCTGGGAAGGTTTAGTAGAATCAACCAACTGTGGCACTCTGGCCCCTTAGGATGCTCCTTTTACTCTCGGGTTTCTGAGTTTGGCCTGTTCTGCAGCTTGCTGAATGGCCAAATGATTGTCATGGCATCCATGCAGGTATCTTGGAGGTCTTGCACTGCATCTTGATTGAAAGCCCAGAAGCCTTAAACCTGATAGCAGAGGGCCACATCAAGTCCATCATCTCCCTGCTGGATAAGCATGGGCGGAATCACAAGGTGGGTATGGAAGGGGGCCACGCCCGATGGTTTATTTTTCCTGCCTTTTCTTTCCTTCACACTAATATCCATTCTGGGTTGTTGAAAGCATGATGTGTAGTCCCTTGATGATTTTGACAAAAGTTTTGGGAAACTTGGGATTCTGAAAAATCTACAGACTCATTCCAAGACAGCCAGCCTCACTGAATCTTAAATAATCTGGGTTTCCCCAGCTTCCCAAGCCCAGCCCATCATCATTAGCCCTTAACATACATCTCACTGTGGGGCCAGTTGAACAAGATTGGCTCTCACTCTAGGATCTATAAGCTTAGCAATGCATAATTTGATTGGATGTGTGGGGTATAGCTGAGCTATACCAAGAAGGTTAAGTTTAGTTCCCAGCTCACTCCTACCTTCATTTTGTGGGAAGGGAACTGTATTTTGTGATGTGCTTCAGTCCAGGAAAAGGAGCCCATGCAGCACTGACCACATGATATGCAACAGCCTGAGGAAGCAGAAAAGCTATGGTCCTTAACATCTGTGAAATTGCTTGGCAAAGAAGAAAAATATGTGGGGGTTTGTAATTGCTTTCTCAGACATGGTAAATCAAAAGCAGGGGGGGGTTTGAGCCTGCGTCCAGCTTCTGTACATTCCAACATGTTCCTCCCTGTCTGCAAAATGTAGTAAGAATTACTGATAAGCCTAGAAGAAATGTACGTCTTGAGCCACAATCTAGCGCTACAGACAGAGAAGCCATAAAAAGGAGGATTTCCCTGGTTTCATTACATTGGGACCTTGCTACAGTGATTCCACATAAAGCACTTTAAAAGTAGCCCAGTTTCTTTACAACTTCCTACATCCAAAAAAACATTGACTAGATGACATTTGATGACAACTTGACAATTATTCTACCCATTGCACAGCTGAGAAAAGTGAGGCCTGGTGAGTCAAAGTGGTGGGAGGACTATGCAAAGTATCACCTGTGTCTTAGGGGTAGTTTAGCAAAGAACTTGCTGAGTGTAGGCCAGAGTACTCTTATACTTCCCTTTTGCTTCGGAAATGCCAATGAAGTCTTCTATCCAGCCTTCTGTGCTCTCTGTGGCCTCAGCATTTCAAAGTCTCTCTCCTTCACTGAGTTTTCCAAAAAGACAGTGACTTACAATATGTAGAATTCTGGAGTCTCAGGGAACCCAAGCAGTCACCTGTTGATGATGATGTGATGACAGTAGTAACAAATACCATTTCTTTTGCACTCAGGGAATGCCAGGTACCACTTTAGATGTTCACATGCATCCTCTTTATTCTTCACCATGCCCTCTGAAGTGGTGGTGTTATTATTTCCACTTGGCAGAGGCAGAAAGTTAAGAACATGAGTCTTTGGCATTAAGCAGTTTTCTGGGGGCCTCTCAGTTAATTGGTGACATGCTAGAAGCAAACATTTACAGTTCTTGCCAATATCTCAAGCTGAAGGTGGTGAACATTGTCCTTATGGCTCAAATATCCTGGGAGGATATTAATTTTGTTTCTAGCATTTCCTAAATCTAAAACTCCTCAAAGTGGAACTCCTACAATTCAAGGCCATAATATGTTAACACTGAAGCTTGAGGGCCCCATTATTCATGAAAGTGGCCTTTAAAGAGTTTTGTGTAGATAGTGGAGGATGAGAATCCATTCTTGTCCCATAGCATTTCCAGTCATTTGCTTAGAATCAAGACTGTATATAAGTGTAGCAATAGTTTCACATCCACTTCCCCTCTATCCTATTTAAGTTGTTAGCTGGTCACTATATAGAAAGCATTGCTTCTCATCTGAAGCTTTACCTCATCTGCTATCACAAGTTAGAGGAAAGAACACAATCTTTATGAAAGGGAGAGAAGTGGGTTGCAGGATCCACTCCATTCTTTTTTTAATGCACTCCCACCTTTGACCTCCCAGTGACTTTATTCTTGGGTATCCATCCATGCCTCCTCCCTTCCAACTTTTCCAGGAACTATCAACATTCTTCTCTTGTCAATTAAAAAGCAACACTGAGCCGGGCAGTGGTGGTGCACGGGGCAGTGGTGGCGCACGCCTTTAATCCCAGCACTCGGGAGGCAGAGGCAGGTGGATCTCTGTGAGTTCGAGGCCAGCCTGGTCTCCAAAGAGAGTTCCAGGAAAGGCGCAAAGCTACACAGAGAAACCCTATCTCGAAAAAACCAAAAAAAAAAAAAAAAAAAAAAAAAAAAAAAAAAAAGCAACACTGAAACTTTTGTCCACTCTTGAAAACTTAATTTAAATTCCGTTCCTTCCATGCAACTTCAAAATCCCAGTTGTAATTGATATCCTCACCTCTTCTCTTAACACAACTTTTACATGTTATAACAACCGTTCTACCTTGCATTTCACTGTGGTTATTTTCACAGAATATTTCTCTTACCTCATGATAGGGACTATCATTGTGATCAGTACAGGGTCAAGCTCATATACTTAATGATACAGGCATCCATACATGTTTGTCAAAAGTTTAATAAAATTAGTAAGCGAATTGAACCTAAATCCACTCCTGTCTCACCCTAAATTGATGGAGGCTGCACACATGAACATGGCATTCTTACAGAACAAAAGGAAAATCAATGAAAAGAAATGTTGTCACTAGAACTAATTTGTTTTGCAAAAAGAATAATTGTTAAAAAAAATTAGAGCATTTATCCTGTGTTTTCCCATAGAGCTAGCTTTTATTAATAAAATAATAATGATGATGGACTCATGTACTTGCTTCCCTAATGACTTGCTCCAAATCTACCCAAACTTGTCACAAATAAACATTTTTATTATCTTTTTTCCACAATGATTTTGAGTCACTTGTAAGAAAAGTATATAGTAAAATAGTGATCTCATTGGTCGCTGGAAAGAATGAATCAGAATTAAAAGTTTATCCTGCATTGGTAGAGGATAGAATGTAAGTAAACAAATCATTAACTCCCACACCATTGCTCCAAAGCTCCTAAAATCAGTTGTTTCATGGCAGCCACAGCAGCAGAGAATGAAGCCAGCCACTAAGTTTTCATCCACAGGAAGAAGAAATGTGATTTGTTCTCCACCCACAGGGGGCTGGAAACACTCTTTTTTCAAATGTATAACTTGATGTAAAAAAATCACAAACTAGGTATATTTTACATTTTAAAATACATTTGCTTTTACACATAAAGACTAATGACAATAAAACATCCAAATGATGTTTGTGTTGATATATACATTTGATATATACACATTTCTTTAAAGTAAGATTCCCATATAAGTGTATGTTTCTCACAGACTGAAGGAGACAAAGATCAATGTATGCCTGTTGGAAGAAATGTGGTATCAGTGATGAAAATGATTATAGCTCTATAAATGGGCCATTGATTAAGGAAGCCTAACTCCTAAAACAAGCCTACATTCAGTAGCTTGGCATACAGGGCTTTTGCTCACATCACTGTCCAGAGTCCAGCAGTTTCTGAACAGACACAGAGTGGAGCCACTCTGTGTCTGTTCAGAAACAAACGCTCTCTCAGGGCATCTCTAGCTGCCATGGGCTGACAAATCTAGACATAGCTGGAACTTCTTATAACATGAAGGCTTTTATTTAGAATGAGAGGGGAGGGCCTGTGGCTTGGTGAAGCAATCCGTGCACCTCTGTTTCTAGCAAGCTCCCAGTCCTGTCAGAGCTGCTAGCCCATGAATCTGAGAATGGAGTCCCTGGTGCTGTAAACCCTGCATTGGATCTGTATGCAGAGGGAAGGAGAAAAGAGAACACTTGGGAGAGCTTGGGAGATGTCATTGCATCCACCCAGTTTCTCTTGAGCAGAACTCAGTTACGTGACCCCACATACCCTGCAAGGTAGACCTCCTTGTGAGCTCAGGAAGAGAAGGGTGCAGGGTCTGGGGAACACTCAGCAGAACCTACCTCACTAGGCAGGTTTCCCAGGGCTGTTGAGAAATTAGCAAGCACAGATGGTCTCTAGGCAAGATGCCTGTGAGCTCTTGTGGTACAGTCCATCTACACCCACTTCTCATTGAAAAGATCCCATTTAAATACCTTTAGAAGGAAGTGTGTCCCTATTCCCCCCATTATTCATGAATAAATGTCCTCTTTATGGTGTCAACTGTTTATAGGTGAGCATTGCTTTGTCAGGCTGTATACTTCTTGTCGTCTTTATTTCTCTTGGCTGTTGCTATTACATATACATGCTCAGCTTTTACTCGGGCTGTGACAGCAAGGTTCCCACAGCCATCACTCCCAAGCAAAACAGATGAAGGTGTATGACGGGCCAGATGGAAAGTACTTAATTTTCTGGCCATCCATGGCTCTTTGCTTAGAATGAGAAATCACCCTCTGGATTTCGAGTTTCCACAGTCGATATCTGTCATGGAGTGGTAATGGTACGAGTGCCCTGTAAAGCTGCCTTGGGGCTTCTTTTTCTGTTTGTCCCATAAATGTGCTCTGTATTTGTCTGGAACGAAATTGACATTCAGGGAGTCAGGTGGAAAATTGGTTTGTGAGAATTATGGGCACAAATGCCATCAACAATCTTAAGGTATCCAACCTCACCAAGTGCTCAGTCTTCAGTGGCCACTTTAAAAGACTGAAATGTATTTGCCCACCTCCCTGTCAGTGTGGCTGTTATTTATTGAGTGCTATTTGCACACTCTTCCCTGTGGAGGAGAGAAGAATAGTACCTGCCCCAGCACTGTTTCCTCTGCCGTGGTACAAACACAAAATCTGAATATAAGGGGACAGGGTACAATGAGATAGAGCAAGTAAGATAACAGCTTGGAGGAGGAGCAGAGGTAGAGGACCATTTCCACTTACCAAGCAGCTGGAAACAGCCACCGTGGCTAGGTGACAAGTCTCTCCGATTTATGAATTACCTAGGCTCTTGCAGATTTGCTATCCATCCAGGTGGGAGGAGGAGAGTCAGTGAAACACTCTGATCACTGGTTTTTAGGAATTTATGACTGTCTTAATGTACTCTGATGATATCACAGCAAGCTACCCGAGAACTGGAGTCAGCACCACTGCCTGAGGGTCACAAGCCTGCTGCATTCCAGATCCTAAGCAAATGGGCTCTGAAAGCTTGTCGTTCCTAGTTGTCTGAGCACCTCATTAATCCTCAGTGCATGTGGGCTGGGTAAGAGTGTGAAGCTGGGTTGCAAGACCTGTGGACAGCATTTGGTTTAATGACTGGGCAAATGAGTAGTGACTGGATTTGGTGCCTTGAGAATCTGATGGCACCCTAGTCCTGACCCTGGCCGGACAGCATATCTCCATAGTTTCGGGCCTCACTGTAGTAGAATTTGACCACAGGTGGCATACGAAGTCTGGAGAGATGGAGCATAAGACTAAAGCAATGAGTCTAGGAGGACACCAGACCTCATTTTTCCAAGTCGCAGCTGCCTCTGGAGCATCAGTCACTCCTGCTGAGCAAGACTCTCACAGCTCAGTGCTAGTTTTCCATGCACCCTTTGCTCACCCTACAGGCCTCCTCCTGCCTTTGTGTGTAATGATGTGCAAGCTCTGCACACTGTACCCCTCCTCCTGGAGCTGAAGTTTAGGGGTGGGTGTGTCCTCTGGCAGGTTCTCGATGTCCTGTGTTCCCTCTGTCTCTGCAATGGGGTCGCAGTAAGAGCCAACCAGAATCTGATCTGTGACAACCTACTACCCCGGAGGAACCTGCTCCTGCAGACACGGCTAATTAATGATGTCACCAGGTAGGGTCACTACTGTCATTCCAGATGCCAAGTGTGTCTCCAGGTAGGAAAGAGGATTTTGTGGAAGCTCAAGCAAGTAAGACCAGACCAAGCAGAGGTACACTTTGTATGACTAGGACCATGTCCTCTAGCTCCTTTAGGGGAGTTTTGCAAAATTATCCTTAAAGTAGCTAAGAATGGAAGATAAATACATTCTAATGACTGAAGTTTTATTTTAAAAATGAATACACCTTTAATATTCCTTTATGATATATTTATGTTTTTATGTACCATTTTCCTAAAATATTTTAATATAATGTATGTCCTACATTGTTGCTATAGTTGCTTACATTCAAGGACACATGGGCATTTACCCTGTGAGGGTCAAGATAGACCCAACCAAACCTCCAACCCACCTGGTCCCTACATGTGGCCACATGTAACTCACGTGAGCTCACTGAGCCAGGCAGGCCTTACGTTCTTCTTATATTTTCCACTAGGTCCACAGTAGTAAGGGAAAAAACTTCCTCCCAAAGTACAGAGCAACACTCAGATGTCGCCACCACCCAGATCTTCCTTCTTAACAGATAACTTAATACAACCTGAGTTATATGTGTCTGTCTCCAATAGAACATCCCCAAGCCCAGGAAAAGTCTCTTTTCGAGTATAACCCAAACATCCAGAAGTCTAATTTGTCTGTCCCACACTCTTAAGTTATCTGTCCCATACTCTTAAGTTGTCTGTCCCACACTTTTTTCAACCTCAACAAGATTGGATAATAGTAAACTTCTTACTGCTTTTAAGTATTAATTATGCTTAGGGATTGTACTTAAACCTGTGTACCAGAGGATGGAGGTCATGTAAATGATTTCGCCTTCTTACAGAAAGATACAAAGGTTGGTGGTCATACAACCCTTATAACATTTACAGCATCGTTGCACATGGTTGGCATTCCATAGATGTGTTGCCTTGAATTGAATATTTAAAAGGCCACCTTTATATTTTAGAAGTTACTGCTGTCCCCATAACGCCCACTAAGAGCTTGGCCAGTTGCTGAAGACTGTACAGTAACAAAATGAAATGATTAAAATGCTCTGACTTAGGTTTAACTGTGCCAATGCCTTCTCTTGGGTCTGGTTCAATTTGTTCTGTTAGTTGTTTGCTCTCTACAGAAGCAGCCTGTCCCATGTTTAATTTCAGTATCCGGCCGAACATTTTCCTGGGAGTTGCTGAAGGCTCGCCACAGTACAAGAAGTGGTACTTTGAGTTAATTATCGACCAGGTGGACCCTTTCCTCACAGCAGAGCCCACACACCTGCGAGTGGGCTGGGCCTCCTCAGGCTATGCCCCATACCCTGGAGGTGGAGAAGGGTGGGGAGGCAATGGTGTTGGTGATGACCTATACTCCTATGGCTTTGATGGACTTCATCTTTGGTCAGGTGAGTACCTTGTGAAGGCTTCCATTCTCCATTCTATTGTTGCAAATAACTGAGCCTCATAGTGTTCACTTTGAGTTACAATGATAGAACTGCTTAAATCCCATGAGATTGTTTGGTGGGAAGAGCAACAGGTTTAAACAAGCTTCACTTATGGCTTTTTTTCTGAGAGTTTCTCACCATGTCACCCAATACAGATCACTTAACTTAAGCTCAGTGTTACAATTTAACTGTAAAATGCTCCTCACAGGCTCATGTGTTTGAATACTTGGTCACCAGCTGGTAGCACTTTTTTGAGAAGTTGTGGTACTATTAGGAAGTAGCACCTAGTTGGAGGAAGTAGGTCATTGGGGTCATACCTTGAGGTTTATAGTCAAGCCCAACCTCTGTCCTCTCTCCAGTTTCTGGTTCACTAGTATATTAGCAAGCATCTGCCATTCATTCCCATTTGAACAGATCTACCCACCACCATGCCTCCCCTGCTAAGATTGCTATAAACAAACTTAAGTCCTTCCTTTCTATCTTGTAGATATTTGATCACAGCAGTAAGAATAGTATCTAATACACTTAGTGTCTATATCTGTCAGTCTTTATTGCAAATAGGGTTGTTAGGGTTTTATGAATAAGCACATAGATGATACTCAGATTTATTTAGTGGGCAGTGAGCTACCTGCTTTAATGTCATAATGACCTTTAAGGTAGCAAATACTGAACTCATGTTACAGATACAGAGACTGATGCACTAAGACACTAAGAAATGTATTCAGTCATCCTGGGAAGTCTCCTGATCTGATTGTGTCATCAAGGCCATGATGTCAACACTGCTTGCTGTTTCAGGTTATGGTTGTCAGCATCTGTAGATTAGCGTTAATCTCAAAAAGAATTCAAGACTTTTTTAAAAAGATAAATACTGATGTTTTTCCCATATATATGTATATGATATGTATGCATGGCCCATGAATGTGAAGGCATGTATTGTTTCTACCTGGGTGAAAAATGTAAGGCTAATTTTTTCACCCTAAACAAATACCACACCTTTCCTGCTTATTATCCAAAGCATGCATTGTCTGTATTTCTTTAAGAACTGCAGTTGGAGATAATGTGTGCCTGATAAAAATGCCTCACAGAAGCGCAGTGTGGAATACTTCTTACAGAGGAGCCATGATGCACAGTCTTCCTTCATTTCAATATGAGAGAAATGTTTCTTTACAAGATGAAGCTACAAACTGAACTTTCTTGTGTAACTGAGAACTGCCGACCCATCGCATTCTCCTTCTTCCCTTCAGCCAGCGGTTCTCGGCCTCCCTAACGCTGTGACCCTTAATACAGTTCCTCACGACACCCAATCATAAAATTGTTTTCGTTGTTACTTCATAACTGTAACTTCGCTGTTGTAATCATAATGTATCTGTTTTCAATGGTCTTAGGCAACCCCTGTGAAAAGGTCATTTGACCCCTTCCCGGAGGGGTCATGACCCACATTTTGAGAGTCACTATTTTAGACAATACCCTAACTAATTAATAATCAGTGTTATCTGATAATCTGATGGCACGATTCTTGGAGTAATCTTAATATTTTTTATTTGTTAGATGAAATTTCTCTGTTTTACATGCTGTTTAAAGCTTTTAAGGCTATTGTAAATAAACTCATTTGTACATTTCTTATGTATCCTGGACCATTGAGAGGGATGGGGAGGATACAAAAGTCTACTCATGTTCTGTGTGCTCTAAGGTACAACTTGGAACAGACAAAAATATTGAAAAAAATGGCAGGAGGGAGAAGTAAGCAGAAGGAAATTTGTCTTTCGCTCTACCCCCAACTCACTTTCCCTAGTTTCTTCATAGAAGATGTTTCTTCCTTTCCTGATTCTCCGAGGCCCACTGTGGAATGAATCACTGAGTCTGAGAGTGCACAGCAGGAGCCTTTAGCTTAGGTTATCACCACATGATCTACACTATTTCTGTGAATGGGAAGTGAAGGATGCTCACACACATCAGCAACTCCTGAGATGGCTGAGATGGCAGGATGAAGTCTGTGAGAGACTGAATGAGCTTCACTTGTGGAGCCATTTCCACACTGGCTACTAATAGCCACCATTTCATCAATCCAAGTCTCTGTGCTCAGTGGAAACCAGATCATACGTACCTGCAGAGGACTCTGCAGAGAGACTAACAAAACAGAATCATAGCTACCCAATGGATGAAGCATATCGGACTCTTGTTTCAAAGACAAATGAATCATTCTCAAAGGAAAAACTTCACTTCATCCTTCTCCCTGCTGAAGCAGTAATTTTAGGCACTTAGGAAATCTTGTGTCTATTTATAGACACTTGGGAATGAATACTTCAGTGAGTCCAGAGGCAAAGAAACTAACCACTATATATCAAAAAGAGCCACACTCGTACATTTCAGGACCTTGGACATCATAATTGTGCATCATTCCATAGTTGCTCCTGTGCAGCTCATCCTGTGTCCCATTTTGTGTGTCTTATGAGGGCAAGCAAGCTAGATGATCCAGGGCCACATTTGTCATCTCTAGCAGTGGCTCTGTTTTGTTGAAGAAGTGAGAAGATAGCTTTGTTAACTGTTACTGTAAGTTTGAGCGTTACACGAGCTTCTTGATATAATGTTGTAGAGATGTGTTCAAGGGTCTTAATCCCTTGTTCTCTACCATCAGGAGAGATGTAGAGAAGACAGTGTCTATGAGATTTACACTTTTCATTCTCCACCCGGAGACTGGGAACTTAAGAGCACAACATGAGCCTCCTGCCTTTGATTTGCAGCCCTAGAGACAGCAGCTGCCACAGAGAGAACTTCCTTGTTGCTTGTGATAGAGGGAAGGGGGCTTAGACATGGTATTTTTCAATCACCTAGTTAGAGGATGTATTTATTTTTAAATTAAAAATACAATAATGTTGCTGTTTTTTAAATCAACTATTTAGTTTTTAATCTATTATTAAAATAGCAGTAGCCATCAAAACATTGAATGCTTCTAAATTGAGATTAGAAATATTACCAAATACATACGTACAAAATTTTTAAATAGCACATATCCACCAAGAGTATATTTATTTTAGGTTACCTTTTATGATGCGTTCTGAAGCCATTAAAATCTAGCTTTTAATATATCTACTATTATGCCATAAGTTAGAATATGATTTATCAAAAAAAAAGTCCAAGCAGGCTTACTCATCCTGTATAATGTGTGTGCACATGAGAATTAGTCTGTTTTAATGAAAGCTTTTTTTTTTTAGATTCTTTGACAATTTCATAGATGTTTATATAGAATTTTGGTCGTTTCCATGCCTCCCATTACCCATCTCATATCCATCTGATTCCCCTTTCTCTTTTGCTGGAAACTTTCTTTTTCCCAACAAGTCCCTTCCTACTTGGATGACTTTTTTTTTTTGCCATTGAGTTTAATTAGGGTTGTTTGTATAAGCATGTGTTAGGGATTATTTACTGAAACATTGGCAACCTGTCATTGTCTAGACCTTTGAAGAAAATTATATCCCCACTTCTAGTACCCCTTAACTTCCCATAATCCCTCAGTGCGAGGTGGGGCTTCATCAGCCCTCCCCCATGCATGATGAGATGTTGACAGGTCCAGTCCCATCCACAACCACCATAAGCTCATTATCGATCAGCCTTGTTATGTCCAGAGGACTCCGTTTTACAGCAGTCCTCTCCAACCTCTGCCTCCCATATCCTTTATGATCCTCTGGGTGATGTTCCCTGAGCCTTGCAGAGCCTTGATATGGATGTCCTGTTTAAGGCCAAGCATGCCAAAGTCACTTATCCACTGCATTGTGGAGTTACATTTTCCTTTTACTTACTTTTCAATATAATGGTTAATGTTTATAATGAACACGTATTAATTGTACAATTAAGAAACAAGATGTCTTTATCTTGTTCCTGAAACCCCATATTAGTTTCCAGCTTCTGCCTGTCTGCTCCTTTGTTCCCAGGAGAAACAAACAGGAGAGGAGGATGGGTAGGATCATGATGATAATAACACAGAAAAACAAGGTATTTTCTCACTACTTGGGGTCAGAAGTGTTCAATTATTTTATGGGGAAGATACAGGAAAACATTTTGTAAGCACTAATGTGGATTTAAATGACAATGTGTTTGCCTCCTTGTGTGGAGTAAGAAAGCTATTTAAAGCAGGCAGACCTTGTTGTGTGGTTCCCTGGCTAGTAGGTATGCAGTCCTCTCTGCTAGCTTCCCGCACAGTGCCCATATCTTTCTGAGAAAGCAAAAGTGAGCAAGGCCTTCTCTTACCTGTGACTAAACATCTACACCCTTACCTCCAACGACCCTCCACTCAGTAGAAGCCGTCTGTCCCTTCCTTGCAGCCCCAGGGTAATCTGAGCACATGCCTAGTAGACTCACTCCTCACCATTCTTATTCTTAGTAATTTTAGGGCTTCCTCTGAGACTTGGCTCGTGTCAAGCATGGTGTCTATCCACTCACCAGCTTAAGTTCCTCTTTCTTATCTCACGCAGTAAGGAATTGCATTTCCACTGCAGTAGCATATTCTGAACTCTTAAATTACATACTTGTCACATTTCCCCATCTCCAGAAGTAACCTCTAAGTATGTCTGTCTACCTGATGCTTGCCTCCAGGGTTCCACAGTTTTATTTCTGTTCTTTACACACCAGGCCGAATACCCAGAGCTGTGGCCTCCATCAACCAGCATCTGCTGAAGTCAGATGATGTGGTGAGCTGCTGCCTTGACCTTGGAGTACCCAGCATTTCTTTCCGAATCAATGGGCAACCTGTGCAGGGGATGTTTGAGAATTTCAACACAGATGGACTCTTCTTCCCTGTGATGAGCTTTTCAGCTGGTGTCAAGTAAGTGATGGCTGCAATTTCCTGGAAAAATAGCTATGACCCCACCTTAAAACTTCCCCGTCACCCTTGTGAGCTGAAGAACCAACAATTTCTTTTAGGGTTTCGTCTCAAAAGCCAAATTGCTCACAAGAAAGTAGTGGCAAAAGGGCAAGAGGCAACCCAACTCATTCCCTCCGCCTACTTGCTGCATAGGTTCCTCCTGCAAGGGCTGTCCTACAGACTCCTAAATGTATGAGAAATCCAAGGAGCAGATGGATAGTTATAAGAACAATACATGCTCATTGTGAAAACCTTGAAAGAAATAATTACAAATACACAGTAAAAGTCACTTTCTTTTTCTTTCTTTCTCTTTTGTTTTTTTGTTTTGTTTTTCTAGACAGGGTTTCTCTGTGTAGCCCTAACTGTTCTGGAACTCACAGTGTAGACCAGGCTGGCCTCGAACTCACAGAGATCCACCTCCCTCTGCCTCCCAAGTGCTGGGATTATGGGTGTATGCCACCACCGCTTGGCTCATTTTCTATTCCAGTGCTTAGCTATAATCACTGTTAATATTTTGTTATATTCATCTTTTTGCTACAAATGAGGGTATACTTTCTAAATTGCAGTCACTGCAAATGTGAAGTATAATTTTTCACTCAGAAATAAGTAATGAGCCTTTTCCTGACTCATTAGGTACCCTCAAAATTATTTTTATGGTCATATAATCTCTCTTTATTTCACTGCCTCATAATATAGCCATTACTTTAGTGTTATGTTTTCATGCCAATTCTACTTCTATTGTTACAAATAGCGTTGTTACAGACATACCTGCGTGTCACCCTTGTTCTGCATTGCCGTTTTCTTCCTCTCAGAAGAAAGAGGAAATGTATTATGTCTTAAGATTCAAAATTTATAATGATGTGGACAAATTGATTTTTAGAAAAAATTGCATGAGCTATTAGGAGCTTCTTATCAATAATTGCAAAATCTACATTTCTTTGAAAACCACAAACTTGTTCAGGACACATTTTGCATCAAATCTAACCTGAACTCAGGTTGTAGCAAAGCTGTCATCAATAGAAATTCAACTGGTTTTCAATCTTTGACAGCATAATTCCTGTGAATGTGTGTATGTTTAACTGCAGAGATATTAGTATGTCTGAATACTGGATACCGTTTCTTCTCTGGCTAGTGGTTCTGTTTGAGATGTGTGCATGCTACACAGAATCTCTTCCTTTTTTGAATGTTTATGCATTCCAAATCCCCAATTATATTTCTAGAGATTCCAGATAAAATATCTGGGCCTGTGATATCATTTAAATATTTGTAGAGCCGAGAAGATAGTTCAGTTATGCACAAAAAAAACTTGCATTCACTCCCAAGGACACATATAAAACTAAGCTAAGGGATTGCAGGCACTGTGATATTGGTGCTGAGAGGGCGAGATAAGCAGATCCCTGAGGATCGCTGGACCAGGCATCCCCGTATACTTGGCAAATTCAAGGCCATTAAGAGACCTTGTCTCAAAAAGAGGCAAATGGTGCCTAAGGAACAGCATCTGTGGTGGTTCTCTAGCCTCCACATGCATGCACACACATGAGTACATAAACACATACAAAAATAATAAAGCAACATATGAGAATGCCAAACTGAATCCACACTAATTTTGCCGTTGCTGGTTATTTTTTATTTTACCAATTTGAAATTATAAAGCAGATTTTTCTGTTTCTTTCTCCACCTAGTGTTTTTGCTGGTTTTATGTTCTTAGCCTTTCTGATATTAATTTTGGATGGTTTTATTGTTAATCAAGTTACATTTAAGGCTGCTGATCTGTTTTCTATAGCTTCAATATTTTTTCCAAGTTATGGTTTACCTTTTATGGTTAATTTTTATCCTATCTCCCCCTTTTAATGTAATATAAGTCAAAATCATAAGAACCCAAAATAGCACCGCTCAAAGATGATAATGTTAGGTTTTACATGTAGATAGTTTGCATTGACTTGGGGATGTACTGTGCATGCTGTTTTCCTGTATCTCACTGCTTACGATCGTATTCACAGTTCTGCCCCTCTTTCCTTGTACCATGTAAATGCTGTTTTAACTCTCTTAGCCTTTTTACACATTTAGATGTCTGTAAGTCAAAACCCCACAATAAGCCTGTTTCCCAAATTGTCTCAGCCATTCCACTCTCCAGCTCTGTATTTTAAAGAGCTCATAACTGACTGAGCAGGACATAGGAGTTACAGTTACAATCACACTTGTATCCATGGATGCCATTGAACAGTGCAGCAGGAACAGGGTATGACAACAGGAGCCACAGAGGAGTAAAAAGCAGGCACTGCAAGGCCCCACGGTAGGATTTGCAGAATGTCACCATGGGCATAGGCTTCAGCACTTCATGAAGTGATGAACAAAACCAGACAAGTTCATATATTTTCCAAAGGGAGATAAGAATGGATTAGAGCAAAGTCCCTGTGGCAGTCAGGAAGAACCAAGTATGAGTCACAGCACACAGCTCCCCAGCTCCATTCCCTAGGAGCAGAGACACTAATGCAGCACAGCCACATTAGGGCCATCATGTGGCCCAGAACCTTCTCTGGAGAAGCGGGTGACCCTGAATGATCAGTGCCTAGAACCACATTTGTCTTGGTAGCTTATGGCCTCAGTTTTCCATCCTCAACATCTTCCCCTTTCTGTTCTGTTTTGACCAGTGCCACTCACTGGCTTTAGATTATTTTCACAGAGAGAGAGAGAGAGAGAGAGAGAGAGAGAAAGCACTTCTTAAGATCTCATTTGTGAAAACTATTTAGATGTTTAAAAAATTATACATTTTATTAATATTTAATTTAACACATTTTAATAAACATATTTTTGTAAAAATATTTTGTTGTTTGAAAATTTCATTTATGTATATAATGTGTTTTGATTATAATCCCATTACCCCCCCTCCAGCTCCTCCTGTGTCCCTCCGCCACTATCCTTCCTAGGTGTATGTATTATGTTGTTAAACCCACCGAGTCCATTTAGTACACTGCCTCTATGTGCATGAAGTGTAGAGTCATTACTGAAGCATGGGGAGCCTTCCAGGAGCCATGTTCTTGAAGAAAACACACTCTCTCTTTCCCAACAGCCATCCGTTACCAATAGCTCCTCAGCTAGAAATCGGACTTTGCCACACACACCCCCGTCTTGCTCAGGTATTGTACACTGAATCACAGCCGCTGTGATGCAATGGTACTGTCCTATCCAAGCAGTACTGTCTCACTGAAGTCACCTCTCACCTGTGACTCTTATAATCTTTCTACAGCCCCTTCCACCATGATCCTTGAGCATTTGGAGGAAGAGGGGTTGTGATATAGATAGATGTCCCCTGTGTAAATTCAAATTTTCAAAGAGACCGTCTTCTCCAATCTGCTGCAATTGATTGTCTTTCTGAGTAGTTTGCATTCAGAGAAAACTACACCTGCTTTTGCAAAGTGCGTAGTAATTGTGTGTGTGTGTGTGTGTGTGTGTGTGTGTGTGTGTGCGCGCGCGCGCGCGCACACACACACACACACATGCTTGTATGACATGTGTGTTCACGGGTATGTGAATGTGAGAGCATGACTGACACAGTGTACCCAGGTCAGAGGACAACCTCGCGTGTTGTATCAGTCCTCACCTTTCACCTTGTTTGAGACAGCTTCTCTCTGGTTTTTTGCTGCTGCTTGTACCATGTTAGATAGCCTACAAGCTTTACCGATTCCCCTGTGTTCTTGTTCTGTCTCCCAGTTGGGGGGTGCTGGGATTAAAGATGCTTGTGCTACGACAACAGCTTGTAGTGGGTGCTGGGGATCTGAACTCAGGTCATCAGGCCTGCTCACTTCACACTTCACTTACTGAGCTGTCTCCTAGTTTGGTAATTCTTAGTCATTATTTCATCCATTCAGACTCCTTCAAAGTGATGAGATAGGATTTCCATGTCTGTGGTTTGTATTTGGTTTGAGTGGACCTTGCTTTGGAATCCTCTCTTGACCGAGAACTTCAGAACAGATAAAGACATAGGTGACTGAATACCATCCTTATTTAGAAGACATTCCTAGCATTTCATCTCTATGTCAGCAGATCACATAGCCCTTGGAGCACACAGTTAACAGAGAAGTAAAGTTACAGGATAAACAGTGAGCTGTTCACTGAGAAAATTTAACAAGTTTGAAGAGCCTAAATGTGCTGGCTTTAAGAGTCAACAACTTAGATCTGGGGGCTTTTGCTCATAGCAACTAAACATATGGCATGTGTAAGAGCAGTTTGGGTGTCTTGATGTCACCTGACACCTGACCCTGAAAACACAGTCAGCACTGGGCAATTTCTGTCTCTGGGTCTCATGACAGGGTGTGATCACAGAGAGGTAGAAACACTATCCCCACATACGTGTTTCTGAAATGCATCATCAGATGGCTTCTTTGCTCCAGGTTATTGCTGGTCTTATATTGGAGAGCAGTCAACTGGCTCTTTTCAATTATGAGTGAATGGCTTCAGTAAACCAGCACTTTTACATCAACTTGTGAAATATATTTTGGTGCTAAAACATGTCACTTCCTGTGCTGATCTAGTTTAGTTATGCAAAGAGAGGCCGGGATATTAACTCTAGGCTAATTAAGATATCTTACTGAAAATAAGCATGCTCAATATATTTTTTTTAATTTTTAAATTACCATTTTACACCATATTTTAAAACATGTGCTTGATTTTTATGGCAGTTCTCCAAGAGAGAAGTAAGTTAGCATGCCCACCTAGGAAGAGAGTCTTATTTCCCAACACAGGATCCTTCAGAATTGTTTCTCATACTCATTTTTAATTTGTGTGTAGTTTCTAAATTAGATTTCTCTTCTGCAATCCCATTACCTTCCATTCAGTGATCTTTAATGAGGTCATACTCTTGAATTTTTAAATTATTATTTGTATCAGGGCAAACTATGTTGTTAATTACACCTGATTAGGATGTCCCTGCCAGCAATCATGGAAGAGCAAAGGGCACAAAG